CAGCACTGGGTTGTATTTAACCCAGCATTTTTTAGAGTGTAGTTAGTGAAAGTGAGACAATTTTATGGGAACAATTTTTTATGACAACAATAATTTATTTCACCAACGTACTTTACTACACCCAGTGTTGGGCTCGTTACACCAAAAATTTAAGTTATTACTCGTTACTAGTTACTCTTTTCAAAAGTAGTATCACTCTAAAAAATGCTGGGTTGTTTCAACCCAACTTTGGGTCAAATATGGACTAACCCAGCTGTTGGGTTAAATTTTTTTATTACATTTTTAACCCAAAAGTTGGGTTAGTCCATATTTGACCCAAAGTTGGGTTGAAACAACCCAGCATTTTTTAGAGTGTACTTATTACTTTCTGGCAACAGTAATTAGTTACACTACTAGTTACATTACTTTTCCTTCACGTCCCACAGATGTTGTAATTGTGTATCTTCCCCATAAAATTCTTCTAAAATGTCATCATTTGACCAAAATCTACATTGGATCGCAGTCAGAAGTTATTACAAACACACTCAATGGTGATTGATAGTGACTTTTAAGTAAACGTGTTGTATTAATTGTCACGTGTAGCTTGAAGCTAATTGTAGCTATAATTTATCTGTTACCCACAGGCCTATATGATTATATTTCATGAAGTATTTTATCAAAAGAAATCACATAAGTTAATAAGATTTTTAATTATAGTAATATGATTTATATCTGGATCAGAGGTATGTGGTTGGGCAAGCCATGTAATGCCAGAGTAAAGTAATGCCACAACTTCCATAATGCCACAACTTACACAACTGTGTTCAGATCACCTTTTCTCCTGACAAAATCAGTGTAATGGCAATGTTTCCATGCCCTGATTGTAAGCTTTTCCATATTCCAAGCTTTCCCGATGCACTGGTGACTTCATGTTCCTGTGCGAGTCGTGACAATTATGAAAATAAATCTAGGAATTGTTGGATTTCAAATCAGCATAAGGGTTGAGGCATCAAAAGTAACTAAGTAACAAGCTGTTTCATGGATGGTTACTGTAATATTATTATCTTGAAATCTTGGTTACAATCTATTTTAAGGTGTCCTTGTTACAGTGTAATTATACATTTAATTAATGAGTAATATGAATTAACTACATGTACTTACTATATGGTTTTAGGTTAGGATTAGGTCTGGCTTAGGGTTACTTGCATTATGCATAATTAATAGTTATTATAATAGTACATGTAACGTTGTATCAAGGACACCTTAAAATAAAGTGTTACCGAAATCTTAATAGTAATTAGTTACACTACTAGTTACTGCAAAAAGTAATATTATTACTGTAACTAGTTACAAGTAACTATAGTTACTGCCCAACACTACACCTCACAGCCAGTGAAAACCATCAGTTTCTAATCGATTCAAATCATTTAAACGAACTGATCCATTTAACGAGTCAGTCTAGCCCTATGATATTAAAATAATAATAATAATAATAACTTTTCCCCATGGAAGTCTGTGGTTTCCATGCAAAATTGTGCTGCTTTTAAAGTGTTGCTGCGGGTTGATTTTTTATTTTTTTTCACCCGTGACATATTGCAAATCATATTTGATTGAAATGCTTGTATTGAACCAATGACAAAACTGCTACTGTGTGTTAAGTTTTGTAAAGAAGAGCCACTGGTATAGGGAGCCTTTGAGCTGTGTTTATGATAGTAGTTTTCAGTTTGCATAAGAGTGACTGTATATAAATGTATTTTAGGTATGGGAATTACATATTTTGAGTTTTGATATTTGGGATTGGATACATTCGGTTATTTTTGAATGGTTATATTTGGGCTAGTTTTGTTATGCAGACCTGGCAACCCTGCGCTTCCCCACAGAGTTGATCTGCGCTCTGTCATTCATCTTACTAAGGCTCCCCTGTTAGTGCACACTGTGAGGGGGTGTTGAGTGTGTGGGTTGATTTGTAGCTTGTTAATGCCCAACAGTCTTTCTGTTCTTTAATACCACAATTATTTAATTTCTGGGCGGCCCGACCCAGTGCTGTGAGCTAAATTTGGGGTCTCAGTCGCACATTCTCGATCTGTGAAGCCACTGTGTGGGAGATCCTGAGCTGTTATAAAAATTTGTGCCATTCCTCATTAGCAAGCCTAGACAGAATCTGCTTATGCATGTCACTTTTTCTGTGCTAATTTTGGGGGGATAATTTGTTCCCCCCCAAATTTTTTTTTGTCCATACAATAAAAGTCAGCTGGGTTCAAAACAACACTAGAACCCATTGACTTTGGGGGGAAAAAAAGGCATATTTTGTGTTATCTTTAAAAAAACAATCTTAAGCAGTTTAAAAAATATCTTTAAGCAATTAATGGTATAGTTTATTTAATTCTCCAGAAATTGGTCACTGGCAAAACATCTGCTTTATTACTAAGTGCAACAGTCGGCTTCCTGAAGTAAAATCTAATTTTCTCCATAGGGAAATAGATTTTTAATGATAACTTATAAACTTTTAAAGACAGACCTACTGGTTGTTAATCAAAGGCATATGCTTTTATTAAAGTCATCTGTTCACATTATTATTATTTTTTTAAATAACTGTATTTAACGCTGTACAGAAACACTGTACAGAAAATTCCACCAATCAGAGAGAGTCATGGTGAGCAAATCACGCCAAAAGAGCTTGCAGTGAACGCTCACAACCCACGAAGCACTGCAAATTATATCAAAATTCCTTTTTATTTGGATATATAAGCATATTTGGCAAACAACAACAACTTAAAAAAAATATTGTTTCTATAGATATAATCAACAAATTTAAATGAATTATTTTATATTTCTCAATTGTTTTTAATTTGATTGTTATTCACAATGCTTTGTGTGATTGCAGTTCGTTCCCTCACTAAAGGTGTTAAATACAGTGTAAGGTGTAAAAGTGTGTAATGTTGTGGTTCACCTTTTAACTGGTTGGCTTGGTTCATGGCTTATAATGCATTAACAAAGATTTTTTTTTAAATTGGAAAAAATTAATGGAAAAAATACTTTAAAAATCAATGTGGCTGAAAGTATGTGGGCACTGATATATAGTTATAGTTATATATATAGATTGACATAAATGTTTATATATATGTTATATTCGATTTTATTTTCTCATAATTTTG